TAAAAATTGAAATTATATTTTATTAAATTAAAATAATTACAATATATTTTTCTACTTTGAGAATGAAAAATATAATTAAACTTAAACTGAAAATATTATAATACATTTTTGAACTATTTTTGATTCATTTTTTTTCCTAATTTTTTGTAAAGTCAATTTTAATATTTAAAAGTATTTAACATTTTGATTTCTCAAACATTTTCTGTATTACCAAATTTAAAAACATAATATTAAAAAAAATAGTTAATGTAAGTTTTGATATATAATAGCGGCTCCACCTTAACCGCTATCTAAACTATATTTTAGATAGCTGTTAAGGTTTAACCGCTATTAGATGTTCTCGTTGTAAGAGCGTTCCAAAGGAACCGCTATCATATACAACCATTATGATCGATTAAATTTTCAAATAACCGATCATATTGGATAATTTTTTTCAAATAATTAATTATAATCGATTAGTTTTCTAAATAATTGATTAGTTTTTCAAATAATAGATTATAATTGATTAATTTCTCAAATATATATTAAAAAATTATAAATAAAAATATAAATTATTTAAGAATATTAATTATTATAAACATAAAGTAGAAGATGGGAGGAGATGAGGATGATAATATAATGATGAAATTGACAAAAATGCAGAATTGAGAAGTTAAAAAAAGAAAAATTGAAGAAAATAGAGATTTAATTATACTATTAATAAATTTAAGATAATACTAGTTTTGGTTTTATTTTTAAATATTTATTTTAATTTTTTAAAACAAAGAAACTATAATTTTAGTTTCTAAATACTAAATTTAAAGAATTAAATTTATTATTATTTAATCTTTTAATTTTAGTATTAAAAATTGAAATTATATTTTATTAAATTAAAATAATTACAATATATTTTTCTACTTTGAGAATGAAAAATAAAATTAAACTAAAACTGAAAATATTATAATACATTTTTGAAGTATTTTTGATTAAATTTTTTTTCCTAATTTTTTATAAAGTCAATTTTAATATTTAAAAGTATTTTACATTTTGATTTCTGAAACGTTTTCTGTATTACTAAATTTAAAAACATAATATTAAAAAAAATAGTTAATGTAAGTTTTGATATATAATAGCGGTTCCACCTTAACCGCTATCTAAACTATATTTTAGATAGCTGCTAAGGTTTAACCGCTATTAGATATTATGTTTTAAAAGCGGTTCCAAAGGAACCACTATCATATACAACCATTATGATCGATTAAATTTTCAAATAACCGATCATATTGGATAATTATTTCAAATAATTAATTATAATCGATTAGTTTTCTAAATAATTGATTAGAATTGATTAGTTTTTCAAATAATAGATTATAATTGATTAATTTCTCAAATATATATTAAAAAATTATAAATAAAAATATAAATTATTTAAGAATATTAATTATTGTAAACATAAAGTAGAAGATAGGAGGAGATGAGGATAATATAATGATGGAATTGACAAAAATGCAGAATTGAGAAGTTAAAAAAAGAAAATTGAAGAAAATAGAGATTTAATTATACTATTAATAAATTTAAGATAATACTAGTTTTGATTTTATTTTTAAATATTTATTTTAATTTTTTAAACACAGAGAAACTATAATTTTAGTTTCTAAATACTAAATTTAAAGAATTAAATTTATTATTATTTAATCTTTTAATTTTAGTATTAAAAATTGAAATTATATTTTATTAAATTAAAATAATTACAATATATTTTTCTACTTTGAGAATGAAAAATATAATTAAACTAAAACTGAAAATATTATAATACATTTTTGAAGTATTTTTGATTAATTTTTTTTCCTAATTTTTTATAAAGTCGATTTTAATATTTAAAAGTATTTAACATTTTGATTTCTGAAACGCTTTCTGTATTACCAAATTTAAAAACATAATATTAAAAAAAATAGTTAATGTAAGTTTTGATATATAATAGCGTTTCCACCTTAACCGCTATCTAAACTATATTTTAGATAGCGGTTAAGGTTTAACCGCTATTAGATGTTCTCGTTGTAGAGCGGTTCCAAAGGAACCGCTTATCATATACAAACCATTATGATCGATTAAATTTTCAAATAACCGATCATATTGGATAATTATTTCAAATAATTAATTATAATCGATTAGTTTTCTAAATAATTGATTAGAATTGATTAGTTTTTCAAATAATAGATTATAATTGATTAATTTCTCAAATATATATTAAAAAATTATAAATAAAAATATAAATTATTTAAGAATATTAATTATTGTAAACATAAAGTAGAAGATGGGAGGAGATGAGGATGATAATATAATGATGGAATTGACAAAAATGCAGAATTGAAATTATATATTATATATATTATATAAATTAATGTTAAATAAATTATATATATTATATAAATTATATATATATATATATTACATAAATTAAAATTACATATATGAACTCTAAATTAATTTTATATATAAAATTACATAAATAAAAATAAAAATTATCAACTTAAATAATTGATTAATTTTCATACTTCATTTTTTCATACTTGATGAGAATCAGTTATTTTTTTAAATAATTAATTAATTTTTAAATAATCAATTAGTTTTTCAAATATATATTAAATAATTATAAATAAAAAAATATATCAACTTAAAATTTAAAAAAAAATTATTTTTAAATTATATATATTATATAAATTATAAATATAAAGTAAAAAAACATTATTAAAAACTAAAATTATAGATTGGAAATAAATCTGTAAAATTTTAAAAATGATGTTATATTTTTAAAAACAAATATTAGAAAAAGGTTTAAAAACATGTATAAATTATATTTATATGTTCAAAATATTAAAGATATCTACATTAAAAAAAATACTAAAAAATATTAAAAGTTATACTTTAAATTAATGAAAATATTTGAAAAAAGTTATATTTATTAAAGTATTAAAAAATATTTTGTAATATATAAGTTAAAAAAATTATCATTAAATTTTTTAAAAATTATTTGTTTTGTAATTTATATACAATGAAAATAATATAATGGTATATTAGTATATAAATATATAAATATATAAATATATCAATATATCAATATATAAATATATAAATATATCAATATATCAATATTTAAATATATATTAAAATATATAAATATATTTGTATCTATAGATTTTATAAATATATAAAGATATATATATATATATATATATATATATATATATATATATAAAGATGTAAATATATAAAGATATAAATATATGTAAAGATATAAAGATATAAAGATATAAAGATATAAATATATGTAAAGATATAAAGATATAAAATATAAAGATATAAAGATATAAATATGTAAAGATATAAATATATATCTTTAATATTTTGTACATGTAAATATAATTTATATATATATATATATATATATATATATATTTTTAAATCGTTTTCTAATATTTATTTTTAAAATATAATATTATTTTTAAAATTTAATATTTAAATTTTTTTTTCAAATATATAAAGATATAAATGTATAAGGATATAAATAAATATATAAATATATCAATATATATATATATATATATCAAAATATAAATATATTAATATATAAATATATAAATATATAAATATATATATATATATATATATATATATATATATCAATATTATCCCCTCATATATTATTATACATTATTAGCGTAATTTTAGTTTAATTAAAAATTAGAATACAAATATATTATATTATATTAATATACCATTATGTTATAATATTTGTTATTTATTTTTATAGTGTATAAATTACAAAACTAATAATTTGTATACTATACTAATATATAATTTGTATACTATACTAGCTAATAGTATAATATACTATATTATAATATTATTTGTATACAAAACTAATATCTTTATATATAAATATATAAATATGGAAAGATATAAATATATGTAAAAATATAAAGATATAAATATATATAAAAATATAAAGATATAAATATATAAATATATCAATATATAAATATATCAATATTTAAATATATCAATGTATTAATATTTAAATATATATTAAAATATATAAATATATTTTTATTTATAGATTTTATATTTTTATATTTATATATTTATACGGATATACATTTATTTGTATATAAATATAATTTATTTGTAAGTTATTATTAAAAAATCCTAGTAGCTCAGTGGTTGGAGTTTCAACCTCTAATTCTAAGGTACCGGGTTCGAATCCTGACAATGATAATAAACCTAATAGTAAATTTTTTTTAACTTTGTCATTGATTTAGCGACCGATTTTTTCGGTCGCTAAAATGCTTTTTCTTGTAGTGTATTATATCAACTAAAATTCTTGTTAATTAATCTTTAACATGTTTCTTTCATTAATTAGATATTTTATCATTAAAGAAAAAAGATATCTAGTGTCATCACCTAATTTCATTCAGTAGCTAATTTTTTTTAAGTTTAAAAAAGAAAAAAAAGAAAAAGAGAGGAAAGAAAATTAAAGTTATAAATAACAATTTCTTAGTGTTTCTTGTTTTAAAATAAAAAAAAAACATTAAAGATAAAAGTAAAAATAAAAATATTTGAAAAAAGGAGACATAAAAAAAACTAAAAAAAATGAATGATGAAAAATAAAATTAATAATTCCTTTCATTATCATTTTATCCTTTGTTTTTAAGGAGAAAAAAAAGTAAATAATAGTTTTTTAGTATGTTTATGTTTTAAATAAAAAAACAAAAATACAAAAATAATACTTTTATGCAAATTTATTTATTTTTATTTAGGTCCAACCCATCTCGTAGGGAAGGTGTCCTAATAATTTGTTTTTCTTTGAAGGGGAATGAAAAGATTGACAAAGGGGGACACAATTTGCTGGACCCAAAAATGACCGCTAACTTAGATGCTCCGCTAAAATTCAATGCGAATGGGAATAGCTTCCTTGTGAACTGGGTTGAATTGAAACTTGGCTCATATGAAGATTAAGGCAATTATATCTTCATGCCACCTGACAACATGAGTATTGGAGGAGAGGGGATCACATCACTTGACAGTTTTAGGTAGAACTTTTCAGGAAATTCTTTTAGGAATGTCAGCCTTTGTCCTTTAGCATAACAAACCTCCTTAAAAGAAAAAACACAATGGTGACGGGGGAGCCACCGCTTTCCCCTCGGCAGCTGCTCCTCACTCAGCGAATCCCAAATCCCTCCACCTCTCATTTTCAGCCCCACACTTTCACCAACCACCGTGAACTCCACCACAAGACCCGTGCTCCTCATCAGCACCACGCCCCTAATGCAACGCCAACCAGCCAAACCCTAGGTCACCCGTACACCCCCGAAACCAACTCCACCACGTCCTAACCTCCTCCAAACATCCACTTTTGTCACGCCACCCTCCTTCACCATGAACCTTCAGCCCTCACCCGCTCTCCCCGTTATAGCTTCGCGGCGAGCCTGGATTTCAGGTTTAGTTCACGGGATCGGAACTGGATTCTTGTCGGGTTTATTGGCAATAGGGTTTTAGTAAAATTTTGGGTTGATTCCGTTGTTTTCGTTTGCTTTGGCTTGAATTTGATGCTTTCATCTAGCTCTATTTTTTTTAGGTTGAAGGTTGATGCTATTCCAATGGACTGTGTGTGATGTTGGTTATGTATTGTGATGAGTCCCTAGTTGCCCTGAAGATGAGAGAGGTCATTCTTAAGAGGATCACTAGGAGTATGACTAAAAGGGAGGTTTCCTCCTCAACTTTCATTTTTAATTTACTTAGTGTTTTCTTTTCCTATATTTTCACTTATTTTCGCTTTCGTTTTGTAGACTCACTTTTGCACCTCTTTTTTTAAAGAATAACATCTCTTTTTGGTGGAAAAGAAGTTTTGGATCCATAGGATACATGCATGGGCAACCAAAAAGTGTAGGACACTCCTTTTTCATGTCCTACATCCCTTTTTGGAGAAGAAGAAACATGGGATGTGGGATTGGTAGGCTTGGGACAACCCAAAATGAAACACATCTCTTTTTTTATGTTCTTCACACCTTTAGAGGTATTTTTGGTGGGCCAGGACGAATTTAACATATTTGGACGATGGGGACTCTAGCCTTTAAGTTTATGTTAAGTTTGTCTCCTTTTGTAATTCTATCTAGGTCCCTCTCATAAAAGTCTATAAATAGAAGTCTTCCCTTCATGTAATTAGGTTGAACACTTATGACAAGTTTGTAAGGTTTCTTGTGTTTCCATCTCTTTGAGTGTCTTATCTTGAACCTTGGTTCAAGCGACGACAACCACCACTTATCTAGGGTGGTTCATCCCCTAGTGGCGTGCCAACACTCCATCACCACCATACTTCTTTTCTCTTCATCTTTTCTTCTTTATTTCTTCACTTCATTTATTTTTCCAAGGGGCTGGTCCATTTGTCCAACCCTTGTCTTTATTCTTTCTAGTTTCATTTCATCTCTTCCTCCCTCCATAATCATTGGAAATGAACCTTCACATCTAGATAGACAACTATCTTAATGTCTAATGGGAATTTTCCTTGAGTTTGCTTATTTTATTGCTTAAAATTCTGCACCTTATCTTCTTAAAATTCTGCACCTTACTTTATTTTACATAATTATTGAACAGACTAAGATTAAGTGCATTCAGAGAGGTTTAGTCAAGGGTGAAGTTTGGTTCATGATTTATCTAGATTCATTAACTTCAATTCGTGTTATACTTGTTTGTGAAAATTGTGTTTGTTTGTGCTGAGGATGATACCAAAATTATAGTAACTGAAAGCAAAATCCAAAATGTCCTTCTCCCTGTATAAATGACACTAGGCTTCAAAAATATCAAGTAATAGATAAATGATAGTGTGTACCAAAAAAAGAATATTAAGAAATAATAAGACACCAGATTTTAGCGTAGGAAAACCCTCAATGCGAAGGAAAACCCACAGGACTTAGTTCGGCAAAAACTTTCACCAATAATAATTAAGGCTACAACACAAGTTCTCTTGGAGTCACCAAGGATCAACAAAACACTTTCTCTTCACCAATAAGGTGGATAACAATAACAGATAACCCTAACAGGTATCTAAGAAGACAATAGAGAACCAAATAGAGAGTAACGTGGAGTCACCAAGGATTTACAGAAGAACACTTTCTCTTCACCAATAAGGTGGATAACAGATAACCCTAACAGGTATATAAGAAGACAATAGAGAACTAAATACAGATTAATGAAAATAATAGAACCTCTTCTCCAAGATAGCTTCTTTGCACAAAGTTACTCTGAATAACACGTTCTTCTTTTATTTGCATGGTGGCTTCTTTTTATATCTCACTAGAGACCCTCTTCTCTGTTCTATGTCTTGTTGTCTTTTGTTCTCTCTTTATTCCCTAAAGAACTCAGATACAAATAAAGATAAATCATATAATAGGCCAGTAGCCCATAAAGAAACATATTTATATTATTTTTTAACTTAGTCATTATGGACCCAACAAATTGGCGACCCACCTGACAAATCTCCCCCTCACCAATTAATTGGGGTTATAGTTAACCAAACTTGTTTTCTCCTTACAGATAGCAAATTCTCCAGTAGGTAAGGATTTTGTCATCATATTTGAGTCATTCTCATTTGTATGGATCTTCTCCAATGATAATTCTTTCATCTCCAATGTATCACAGATCTAATGATATTTTACCTCAATATGACCTTAAATGAAAGGTCGAGTTCTTGTGGAGATAGATTACACGTTGACTATCATAATACAAAACCTATTTTTCTTGTGAAAATCCTTACTTTTGTAGGAATTTTTGCATCCATAAGAATTCCTTTGCAGCTTTTGTAATAGCAATATATTATGTCTATGTAAAATATAGAGCAACACATTTTTGTAATCTAGATTGTCATGACACTACTCCCCCTGCAAAAATCATCATATATCTAGAAGTAGACTTTGTAGAATCTACATCACCAGCCATGTCTACATCTGTGTAACCATTATTTCACAACTAGCCAGTGCTCTTTGCCTGGATTAGCTAGGAACGACTAACAACACCAGTAGCATGAGTAATGTATGGTCTTGTACACACCATAACATACATTAAACTGCCAACCGCAGATGAATATGGAATTTTCTGCATTTCTTCCTTCTTTTTTTCACTTGTAAGACACTATTTTGAGTTTAACTTAAAATTACCTGCAAGTGGAGTGCTAACAGATTTAGATTTACCCATATTAAATCTCTCTAATATCTTTTCAATATATTTTTGTTGTGATAGTCATAATTTTCCATTCTTCCTATCACGAACAATTTTCATGCCAAGGATTTGCTTTGCAAAACCCAAATCCTTTGTTGCAAAGGACTTGTTCAATTTTCTTTTAAAGCTTTGAATCTCTCTCATATCATCACCAATAATCAGCATGTCATCAACATAAAGTAAGAGAGTAATAAATCTTCCATCAGAAAATTTCTTAACAAAAACACAATTATCAAAAGAGGTTTTATCATACTCGTGATCCATCATAAAGGATTCAAACTTCTTATACCATTGTCTTGGAGCTTGTTTGAGTCCATACAAGTTCTTTCTCAACCTGCAAACAAGCTTCTCTTTACCTTTGACTGTGAAACCTTCAAGTTGCTCCATATAGATCTCTTCCTCCAAGTCACCGTGAAGGAAGGCTATTTTCACATCAAGTTACTTGACTTCTAAATTTAAACTTGCTACTAAGCAAAGTACAAATCTAATTGAAGACATTTTGACCACAGGTGAAAATATTTTTTCAAAATCAATACCTTTCTTCTGACTAAATCCTTTCGTCACCAACCTTGCTTTATATCTTGGTTGTGAGTTATTCTCTTCTGGTTTCAATTTGAACACCCATTTATTTTTAAGTGCTCTCTTGCCTTGAGGCAGTTTCATTAACTCAAATGTGTGATTCTCATGTAAGCATTTCATCTCTTCTTGCATGGCTTTATACCATTTGTCTTTCTCTTTGTGTAAGATAGCTTTTTCATAGCTTTCAGGCTCTCCCCCATCAGTTGACAACACAAAATCATGAGATGGATATTTTTGAGAAGTACGAATCTCTCTAGTAGATCTTCTCAATTGATGTTCCATAGGAGGTTCAGGAAGAACTTATTCAGTTGGTTCATTGGCTTGAGTTTCAAACATATTATCTACATTCTCCAAATCTGCATTCACATCTCTCCCATAATTAATAACACTGGTAGGAGGTTCAGGCTCAACATCAATGCACTTATGAGCAACATATCTTGACTTTTCTTTCTTGTTAATATCTTCAATGGTCTGATCTTCAAGAAAAACAACATCTCGACTTCTAACAATTTTCTTATTAACTGGATCCCAAAATTTGAACCAAAACCATCACGACCATAATCCAAAAAAAATACATTGTTTATATTTTCCATCAAGCTTAGATATTTCATCTCTAGGGACGTGGACAAATGTTTTGCAACCAAATACCCTCAAATGATTATAAGAAACATCTTTCTCTTCCCACACACTCTCAGGGACATCACCATTAAGAGGAATAGATGGAGATAGGTTGATTACGTCCACTGCGGTTCTTAATGCCTCACCCCAAAAGGGTTTAGGCAACTTTGCATGAGAGAGCATGCACCTGATTCTATCATTAATTGTGCTATTCATTTTCTCTGCAATTCCATTATGTTGAGGGGTCTTTGGAATTGTCTTCTCAAGCTTGATGCCATGCTCCTTGTAATAATGCTCAAATGGACCTCTAAATTTACTACCATTATCTGCTCTAACACATTTCAACAACTTACTTGTTTCTCTTTCAACACTTGCATGGAAATTCTTCAACACATTAAGTACTTGGTCTTTGGATTTCAAAACAAAAGCTCAAACTTTTCTAGAATGGTCATCAATAAAAGTAACAAAATAAGTGCAACCACTGGTTGATTTAGCATCCATAGAGCAAACATCAGTGTGAACTAAATCCGAGATATGTGGTCTTCTACGTGCAGGATAACTGCGAAAGGAAACTCTATGTTGTTTACTAATAAGACAATTATAATAAGTTTCAAGAGATGTACCTTTAAAAGAAAGTGAACCTTTACTTGCAAGGGTATTAAGACCCTTCTTGGACCAAGTATTTTATGTCATAATTCTATAGAACAATCTTCAATTACATTTACTTGAGGTATAGACAACTTTACTAATGTCCAATGTAGAGTATTTCGCTTCTCTCCTTTTTCTACCACCAATGTTCCTTTAGTGCACTTCCATTTTCCATCACCAAAATAGTTATGATAATCATCTTTATCAAGTACTTGTATTGAGATCAAGCTGAGGTGTATATCAGGGATGTGTCTGACATTCTTCAAATGCAACTTACATCCGATATTAGTCTCTATCCAAATATCTCCAATGCCAACAACCTTGCTTACCCCTTGATTTCCCATTTTCACATGCCCAAAATCTCCAGCAATATAGGATGTAAAATATTCATGATGAGGTATAACATGAAATGAGAAAGCAGAATCAACAACCCATTTATACTCTTGACAGGTGAGTGTTGAATTATTGGCAAGCGTACCAAAATTATCAATCGCAGTATAGTATTTCGATTACATAAAAGTTGATCCCACAAGGAGAAATTTTAATGAAAATTCCCAATTATGTGTTTATAAGTGGATTAAAACAAAACAGGTTTTGTATAAAGAGTTGAATTGAAATTAAATGATAAAGAACTGTAAATTGTTTAGAAAAGATCAATTAAAGACACTTATGATTGACTTTCTTCCTTTTCCCTCTTTTGCAATAGCTATGTCCAATTAAGATCATCAATTAACCTAACAATGTTGATGCCACCTACTCAAATCATCCATATTGATTCCTCACACATGAAATTCATAAGAAAACCTAATAAATGTTGATTTCACACACAATTAAGAGATTTTATAACATTAAATTTAGGGTGTTAAGTAATTGATACATTCATTCTATTCCTGACAATTAACGTAACAAATATTCTTACCATGATCTAGGGTTCAAGATATATTTTTCAATCATATCCCAAACATCAAGAATAAACATTCAAAAGCATAAAGGATAAGAATAACAACATGAAAAACATGGATTAATATCTGAAAATATCACCAAGATACAAAAGAGTTCAAAGGAAGTACACCCAATCCCTAGAGAATGAAGTTAGCCACTCATGGTGACCATTACAATGCTCCAAATGAGGAAGAAGTGAAGACTTGATGAAGATTGGACGAAACCCTAGCAGTAGTCGCACCTCTTCTCCCAAAAACTCCTCCCTTTTCTCAAAACACATCTTATCTTTTTATAGGAGAATTTAGGTATATGTTGAATTATTCGCAAGCGTACCAAAATTATCAATCGTATTATAGTATTTTGATTAAATAAAAGTTGATCCCACGAGGAACGGTTTCAATGGAAATTCCCAATTATATGCTTACTAAGTATATTAAAACATAATGGGTTTTTCATAAAGAGTATAATTGAAATTAAATGACAAAGAACTGTAAATTATTGAGAAAATATCAATTAAAGGCACTTAGGATTGACTTCCTTCCTTATCCCTCTTTTGTAATGACTATGTCAATTAAGAACGTCAATTAGCCTAACAATGTTGATGCCACCTACTCAAATCATCCATGTTGATTGTAGACCCCAAATCTTGCCCGGCCTCATAATAAAGACCAGAAGACCTCCTTTTTGAAGATGGATGAAGCCTAAGAAGCCATTAGGAGAGACTATTAGGCCCCATATTAAAATAGGTGGGATTTTCTGCATGTAAATAAGGATTTTCGCCTTTTAGGGTCGAGACCGCCGTCTCGTATTCGGAACCGCCGTCTCGCCTTGCGAAAGTGGTAAGACCGCCGTCTCGTTTGGCGAGACGACCGTCTTGACCTTGTCAGACGAGACGACCGTCTCGACCTGACAGGCGCGAATCCCTATAAATAGTCGTGCCATTCCCCTCATTTCACACAGTTCTTCCATTCTCTCTCTAGTCACTTCCTCAAATTCTCTTTCTAGAATCCCTCCGAAGCATTTCCGGAGTTTTTGAGAGCTTTTTAGAGGTTTTTTATAGCATTTTCGAGAGATTCTGGCGCTGTAAAGAGTGAAGGGCTGCCAAAAAGCACCCTAGTTTTCAAGAAGTTAATAGAAAGCTTGCCTCAAAAGTTTCTACACTCTCTCTCTCTCTCTCCTTTACCACTTTACTTTTAATTATGCAATAGATATTAGGGTCATGTAGTTGTAATTTTAAATACCGCAAATAAAGGGTAAAAGCGTACTTTCACCGGTTTACTTATTTAAAATAGTTGGCCTATCATAGGGAACCCGAAAGGGGTGTCGTAAGGGAACTAACATTTCCCTTACCCTACCTTGTATTATAACATGTTTTAATGCTTGGTTTTAATAACTATTGTTTGTTTATATTTACGCAATTGTTTGAAATACAAACTGTACACAAACCCTTGCACACAACAGTTCCTTCTATACCCGGGGGCAAGTGAGAAATCCATAGGGAGTGGGTGGCAGGTACGGTTCACTGTAGTGATGGCCTTGTGCCCACCAGTGTGATCGGAAACCACCACTCAAGGTGATAACCTTCCTCTTTTAGCACAAAGACTGACTATGGCCTTAGTGCTAAGCATGGTCGGAAGGCTGGAGAGTGGGGACCCTATAATGGGGGCACCTTGGGGGCCTATGCCTTGGTGAGAACAGTTAGAACCTACCCTTGCCAATGCACTTTTCTGCAAGAAAACCCTACCTCGTGATTAAAACAACTTCTCGCCTGTTCGCGGATGAGTGAATTGTATGTGCATTTGTTTGTTGCATTTGATTGCATAGTATAACCAAACAACAGATAAAAACAAAATTTTACAATAAACATCCTTATCTCGGACAGTCTGCCTTTTAGCTAGCCTGGTTTCAGGTTCTTTGTAAGCTAAGTAGCCACGCAGTCCGACAGAAGAGATAAGGGATGCTAATATTATTCTTTCGCCAATAAAACCATTTTATCTCGGACAGTCTGCCTTTTAGTTAGCTTGGTTTCAGGTTCTTTGTAAGCTAAGTAGCCACGCAGTCCGACAGAAGAGATAAAAGGCTAAAAAAATAATACCAAAATAAATAAAATAATAATAACAAAATCAAAACATTTATAAAAATAATTTTGACAAAGTCGTATCATTCATATTGCATCATGTCATAAGTGGAAAAACCAAAAGAAAAAAAATATAAATGCATAAGGAAAGTATGCATACGCATCATTTTAATAAATCCCTAAGAAATGGGTCTTAGAAGTGTTTTTTGGGAAAATTACTGGGCCAAATCCCCTTCGGGTATTTGCAACTTGATTCCTCACCTTTTTCCCTTCGTTTTGATATTTGTGCGTCCAAATCGGACATCTCAGTCAAAAGTTATGTCACTTTGAACATCTACCGCCCTTTTGTATTGGTGCATGCATAAATACATTCATTCTAAGGAATATCCATCTCATAAATCATTTGTTTTAAACAATAAAAATCTTTTTGCATTCTAGAAAACGGCTAGTATTCTTCATGCCCTCATCCGCATACAAAAAAAAAACATAAAATTCCAAACACTATCATATATCATGTTAGAAAATAAAACATGATAATGTTTAGGAAAAAACAAACACTTGCATACATGCATCCACCAAACTTCATCCTCATAACATGCATCTAATAATAGACAATAGAAGAAGTGGACATTCCTCAATACCATGAAAAGAGGATTAGGGCATTCGCATGCCATGCACGGGAAGTAAAAAAGAAAATAAATATAAATTCTAACATGCCTATGGGTTCATTTAGGCTTCTCCACTTTTTTTTTTAAAAAATGTACTTCAAAACATTGCATTGAGGAATGTACACTGTCTGGATGAAATAAATAAAATTGTTTGTTTTCATCATCTCTTCAAGTGTCTATTGTATTCATAAATTACATTCATAAATTGCATTCATTCTCACTTTAATAATAATAAGATAATAAAAAGAAAGGATTAATTGATGTTCTTTCCATGAATTGGAATAAGATGAAGAGCAAACCTTTTGTCGTCAAGTTCTCTCCAACGGTTGATCCGCCTAAAAAGGATAATAAGCCTCAACCGTTGGGTATCCGAGTTAATAAGGAAGAAGGGGCAAGGATGTCATTACATTTGTTCACCCCATACATCAAATAAGGTTGCACCATGGAAATACGCAAAAACACCGCCCATTAACAAGGATATCTCCAGCATAACTAGCATTGGGGGCAAAATTAGAAATGGAAGAATCTATTCCCCCAAGGAGCTGTAAGATGATGCTCCT